ATAAAAATAATAATAATATTTTTATAAAATTTGTTTTTAATTTTTTTTTATTTTTTAAATATCACGTGCATAAAATGACGTGGAAGAAGAAATAATAATAATAATAATAATAATAATATTTAAAAAAAAAAAATTTTCATATCTCTCTTATCAAAATGGTTGACATTTTTTAATAACAAATTTTCTGGTAAATTTAATTATAATTTTTTTTTTTTTTTTTCGCGTTATATTTTATTATTATTATTAATTATTAAATTCATAAATATATAAAATAAGTTATTATTATTATTATTATTATTATTAAAAATATTTATAGTTTTTTTTTTGTAGGTAAGATCCAATATATATTAATATGTCAAAATCAATAATAATAATAATCGTTTGAAACGAAAAAAAACAAAAAAATTCCAAAAAAAAAATTTAAAAAAATAATAATAATAATTAGAATTCATACGAATTATATATACACATATATAGGGGATATAAATAAAATGTTATCATATATTTATTAAAATGATGAATAATAATAATAATAATAATAGCAGCATATCAAATTTTATCGATTTTTGTATCGAAGAAGAAATTGATCCGAAAATTAAATTTCATTCATTATTAAGCGCAACAATATCGACAATCATGTGTCTTTCCGCTAAATGTCCAATACCAAAATCAAATGTGGATACAACGAAATTATTTCTCAGGTACCACCACTACCAGGTATTCGAAATTATTTTTTTTATAACGATTTTTTATTTAAATTTCCCCCCCCCCTCCATTTTAGTACGGTGACAAATGAAAATGGAGAAACGCCACGAAACGTATCAATTATTCTTAAATTATTAAACAATTATACTGGTCCATACGAATCCAACGACGATAATAAACAAATTTGCGAAATCGATGATTCTCTCGATAATAATGATAATGATAATAATAATAATAATACTACAACAACAATTGCAATACCTTGCGATACTCAAATGGTACGTTCGAAATTTACAACGGAAAATAATTGTAATCAACTCGTACCGAGGGAACATAATATAATTATGGAAAATCCATCGTTGGAATTAATACCGAAAGATAACAACAACAACAACAACAACAACATCGTACCTCAAATTTCTATCCCTCATAAACGCATACCACGAATGGCTACCACGACAACAACCACAACAACCACAACCACAAAAAGATCCGAAAAAGATACTAAAAAAATACCCAAATCAAAATTATCACAAATTTCGACATCAAAATCAATCGCTAGTAAAGTTTAGTTGAATTGAATTAAAATTTTTTTTTTTTTTTTGTATTATATTTTTTTTTTTTTTTAAATAATAATAATAATAATAAATTATACATAAATAATAATAATAATAATAATAATAATAATAATAAATTTTTTCTTTTAAAATTAATTTTAACAATATACATTTTATACTTATAAGAAATAATAATAATAATAATAATAAATATATAATCTTAGGCCGTACGTAAGCTAAACAAAATCCGTGCCTCGAAAAAATAATCAAAATTATTTATTTATTTATGTACATAAGAGAAGAGTAGTATGTAATTGTTAATAATGATATCAACAAATTAAAAAAAAAATTACATTTATAATTATTATTATTATTATTATTATTTAAAATTTATTAATAATTACCGAAAAAAAAAAAATTTATTTATATAATTCAAAAACTTAATTAATAATAATAATAATAATTTATTACTACTCTATTATTATTATTATTATTACAGCCTTATACAAAAAAAAAAAACATAATAAAACAATTATTTAAATTAAAAAAATTAATAGTTACATAATTATTTTTTAATAAAAATAAAAATAATAAATAAATAAAATGTTGTTGGTTTTTTTTTCAATAATTTTTTTTTATTATTTATGTATTTATTTTTTTTTGTTGCTCCAAACTGATAAAAATAGACTAGATATTATTTATTAAATAATAATAGAGCAAATAATAAATTTATTTATGTACATGTAAATTCGACGACATGTAAATAAATAATTTATTAAATTATTTATTTATTTATTTTATTATCGGGGTCTTTTAATTTTCTTTTTTTTTGTTCACGCTATTAAATAAAACAATTTTAAACGAATTTAAAAATAATAATAATAATAATAATAATAAAAAAGGATGATTCGATTGTACATAACACGTATATACATTAATAAATAAATAATAATAATAATAATAATTATTATTGTTTAAATTATTAAAATTCTAATTTCCATTGATTTATTTATTTATTTATTATTATTCTCGTACAGATTTTTAAAAATGTGGAAAAATTTATTAATTTAATTGTTCGAAATGCAAAATTTATTATTATTATTATTATTTATTTATAAATGACGATAAATGAAAAAATTATTATTATTATTATTGTTGTTGTTGTTGTTGTTGTTGTTAGCATTTAAACTTTAAAAGTTTTTTTTTTTTTTTTTTTATTTAAAATTTGGCACAATTTTTTTTTTTTTATATAACAATTGTGTTTAATTTTAATTTTAAATAATCAATCAATCAATCAATCAATCTATCGCTAACACTAATAGATAATAATAATAATAATAATAATTTCTTTTCTATTTTTTGCTCGATATTACATCATTCGTACGGTTTTTTATTTATTTTTCCGACATTTTTTTTTGTTTACGTCATTAAATAATAATATTCGAATCATCCTTTTAATAAATTACAATAATAAAAAAAAAAAAAAAAATTGACAATTAAATAAATAAATTAATAAATAAATAAATAATCCGAACGAAATCTACACACATTTATTTTTACTAATTTAAAAAAAAAAAAAAAACTCAAATTTTTCATTTTAAATTTCGACATTTACGATACGATAAATTTTTTATACGCCATTAATAAAAATTAAAAAAAAAAAAAAAAAAAACAAAATTTGAATTTTTTATTTTTTATATATTTATTTATTTATTTATTTATTACTACTGTAATGACGTGTATAATACAAACGTTTACGAAATTTAAAAAAAAAAGAAAAAAGTAAAAGTGAAAACTACTGTACACTATTTATTTTCCTGCTAAATATTATTATTATTATTATTATTATTATTATTATTATTTTGGACGTGTTTTAAAAAGAAATATTTATTTGTTTTGTCATGGTTATTAAAGTTTAAATTGTTATTAAAATTGGCTTTGGTCAATTAAAAAAAAAAAAAAAAAATCTAAATAATAATAATAAATAAAAACAAATAAAAATAATTCTTGCTAAAAATATTTGTTTAAAAAAAAATGAAAATTTTCCACTTTTTTTTTTTTTTTTTTTTTTTATTGTGCATAGAAATATATGCGAAAAAATCAACTGTCTGGATGTTGACTCGTGAATGATTTTCGTCCTTTTGTTTTTGTCGTTTCCGTTTTCGTCGTCGGATCTATGCTCACTTTTCTAGGATTTCCTAACGTGACCAATGCCGAAGCTATGGCTAAACCTGTAACGCGTAAAAATCAAATATTATTCGAAATTTCTTCTCCACGACCAGGAGGAGACCGGGAGCCATATTTTACCAGACTGTCCGGAAGGAGCGTAGGCTTCATCGCAGGTGGGTAATCTCACTAGTAAACTTAGGACGGCAGCGCGATTCCCGGAACACGGTTCGAGAGCGATCGGACTCGGACAATCTTTTTTCCTTTTTCTCAAACTTGTGCAATTGGACACTTCGTTACATCCTTCTTGATTATTTTGATTGTTCTCCAATATTTTCTCCTTCTCACCGATTTCGACTAGCACCTGAGAAAATGGCCTCGAAGCCATTTGTTCTAATTCTACGAAAAGTCTCTGCCTCCTTCTAAACATGTCGTATTTTTGTTTTATCTTCCACATCAGAGCAGCAATTAACAAAAGAAGTAAAAAGCACCTGGAGGGGGGGGGAGAAAGAAAAATCATTTATTTATTTCAAACGTGACCGTTGACTTTTTTTCAAAATGGCTACTCACGTTGAAAAAGTAATAAAAAATTGCTGTAAATTAAGTTTAGGATACTGGGAAAATGATATAACAATTACAATCGGAGATTGAAAATCGTAAACGTAAACGTAAAATGTCGTTTGCGTGATATTATCGACCACGCCGAAAATGTGTTCGTTTTTAGCAAACCGACTTCTAAACGATGAATTCTTATTACAAACGTATTCGCTGAGAATTTGTTTTTCAGGTATGCCAACTGCAATTTAAAAATAACAAAAAAATAATTTGCAAAAAAAAAAAAACAACGCAAACAATGTGCCTGGTGCCTGGAAAATCTCAAGAGAAAATACCTGTACGAATGGTTATGTTCATTTTAGCAAATTCCGAACAACTGATGCTAAAATCCGCATCTATGTCACTTTTCGGTGGACTGTTTTTAAAATTTATCTGAGTAAAATGCCTATCATCTTTTTTCGATAAATTAAATGTAAACTGATAATCTATGGTCAAATCGTAAAAGCAAGATCCGTTCGCGGGATCTCCGTGATAGTGATTGGTTACGTCACACTTGTCGCACTTATCTCCTATGATACCTTTGGTCGTGCAAAAACATCTTCCCGTTTCCGCGTTGCAAAGAGTACCGTGATTCGAACAGTCGCAAGCTGAAATGATATTTCTCTTCTTTTAATCATTTATTTAAATAATTGCTTTTAGAAAAAATAATTTTATTAATTCTTAAACTAACGAGAGCAATGGCCGCCGTTAACTGGATTTCCATGATAACCGGTCGTGCATCGATCGCAATGTTCTCCGGTTGTTAAATTAGCACATGGTTGTTTACATACACCAGAGTTATCGGGGCACGTGGAGTGTCCGTTACACTGACATGGTGGACATTTCGTGAAGAACCATCGATTCTCCGGGCATTTAAGGCCGAAACCCCCTAGAAAAACAAACCCACGTGAATTGCGTTTGATTGTATAAAAAATGGCGCATGGAAATAAAAAAACGAAAAAAAAAAATTTTACCAAGAATTTGGGAAGTTAAACTACCAAAATGCGAGACATCATTTCCTTCAATGTCCGAAACGTCATAATTCCCGTGATTTCCTCCGGGTAAACATTTTCCTAATCCAGTTCCGGACCCATCGTCGCACCACCCACATTCGGGATCGCTTTGGCATTCGTTACAAGTCTGATAAAAACTGCAACCTGATTCATTCGATGTGACTAATTTCATAATCAAAGCATTTAAAAAAATTTTTTACGTAATTTTTTTGAAAAAAAAATTTTTAACAAAAATAAATACCCGTTTTTGTACTTCTACACCTGCTTTGAATGGTTGTCCACTCTCTGCATTGTCCGTATGGGAAAGACGCCGTATACGCATTCTTATCAACGCATCTACCCTCATTTTGACACCAAATACACTCTTCGACCGTGCAATTAAAACAAGAAGAATATTCCGAACAGCTACTCGTGCATTGAACTAATTCCTAAAATTAAGGTTAAACGGTAATTAATTTTTTGAAACAAGAAGAATAAATTTTAAAATTTTTCAACCAACCTGAGATTCTCTGGCTGTTAAATTCTTTTCCGCTTGACATCTGTTTGCTGCGTAATCCCATCGGCAATACGGATGACTAGTGCAAGCTTGGCAAGAATGTAGTTGATGGCAAACCGGATCATCGGTGAAATCGCACATTTCGTATGATGTTAATGGCTGCTGAAGAATTAACAAATTATTGAAGTTACTTGAAAGATTATAAAAAACAAATTTCAAAATCAGATGTAATGAATTGAATTGAATTGAAAAAAGAAATTGAACCTCTGTTTTTAAACCGTAACTAGTAGGAATAGAATTGGACGTATGCGATTCTTTGCATCCTCCTCCGAGAACGCAAGCAACAGTCTTAACTCCTGAACAATACTGGCATTCAAAGGAAGTGGTAACGCAACTTATGCAATCCGGCAAGTGGCTACATTCCTTAAAAGCTCTATGAGTGTCAGTCCTTGGTCTCTCAGAACATCGTCTGCATAAGAAATGAAACGAATTTAAAATCCGTGACGTACCTTTTTTGATTTCTTATTTTTACATGACTCGAGCATAAATTTATATTTACACATAATTTGAAGTTCCATCCCTTAAATCTCCTTCATTTTCCAAAACGGCACTCGAAACCGATGTCAACGAAATACAAGTTTGATTTTTCCTATCCCAAATACATTTAATTCCCGGTTTACCGTTTAAACAAGAGGATTGAGTAATGGCTCCATCACATTTTCCTGGAGTGTATCTAAGTAAAAAATTAAATTATTTATAAAACAATTTTCTACTTTTAACTAACTGCCTTTAGTAAGTGAGAACTTATTTTTTTCTTACTTGAGAATATCATTTAACATAACTCCATCGAATCCTCCGTAGATGTAAAGGCTACCTTCGAATTTGACGGCGCTATGACCAAATCGTGCAACATCGGCTCTCAAACCTTTGGGAACGTTTAAAACCTGGAACACGAATTTTTAATTGAGAATAAAGTTTTTAAATTGCATGGCAATCTTAATCTTTAACGTTTGCCATTTAGCCTTTAAATTTAATACCCTTAAACACACCTGCCAAGAATCACATATCACGTCGTACGATAACATTTCTCCCGAGTAACATTTAGCCCCGTGTGAATGTACGGTATCGTTATGCGTATTTCCTCCAAACACGAGTAATAAACCTGGGTGAAGAAAAGATGCAGTATGAAGGTATCTAGCAGATGGACCCGGTCTTAATAAAATCCTAAAAATAAATTTCAATTCTTGTTATAAGAATGAAGACTTTACAAAAAAAAAAAAAAGTTTTGTTGTTTTTAATAATCTAAGTATTTATTATCTTTACCAAAAATGAGTATTCGGATCGTATGAATATAATTTATCACTTAAATATGGATTGGACTGACGATCACTCATTAATCCTCCGTACACGTAAATTTTATGAGTATAGGGATCCAAAGTGGCAGAATGTCCGTAACCTCCTTTTACCGGATGACCCCGTGTTTTTACAATGCTCCATTCTCTGGTACCTAACGCACCACGAAAAAAACTTTCTTTATTACACAAAAGAAAATTTTTTTTTTTTTTTTTTTTACAAGAATACTTAATATTTCCTTTCAGAAAATTTACCGAAATAAAATTCTTGAACGGTATTCAAATATCCATAAATTGGAGAGTGACCAAAAATCACAATCATTCTATCTGATTTTTTCGACTGCGTGGCAACAACCGTTGCGGTGTGACCAACTGATCGTAAAGGACTGCAAACGTGACTTCCATTTGAATATGGTCCACCGGTTCCGTTGCAATGATCGGATCTCACCGTTACGTTTTCCCATATTTTTGAAGACACGTCGAAAGCCCAAAGTTCATTAGAAACGACACCATTATCTTCCACTCCCCCGTAAACGTAGATTTTATCCTTGGGGAAGTAAATTTTACACTCAATTAATTGCATCACGTTAAAAAATAATTTTGCATTAAAACATACCCCAAAAAGTACTGCAGAATGACCATATCTCCCTGTAGGAAATGGCTTATTGTCCATATGCAACGTTTCCCACACATTACCGGTAAAATCATAAATGTATGTCATTTTTCCTCTTTTATAGCTTTCACCCCCAATTATATACATAGAGTCTCTAAAAACAACAGCCTCATGACTTGCAGATCCAACAGGTATGAAACCTTTTGAATCTATCATTTCCCAATAGCCCAAATAAGCTATTTGACTGCAGTCATCACCTAAAATTTTATTTTTTACTCAATAAAATTCCTCATTCTCACCTCAAGTAATACAATTTTTTTTTTTTTACTTTGAAATATGATACATCACATGGTTTTTCTCTATGCATAACTGGGGATGTGAGCATTATTGACACAAGGCTGATCACAGCTCTCTTGATACATGCATCACAAGTACATATGCATCATACAAACACATGACCAGAACAATTTTATTTGAGTATCTACTGGGGCAAGAATTAATCTGAAAAATTAAATGCTTTTAAATAACATTCCATCTCTTACATAAAACTGTTATTTAGAAAAAAATAAAATAAAATAAACAAAACCTGTAGGAAATATTAAAACCAGTCATATTATAAGCAACATCACTGTAAAAATGCAACAATGCCGAACCAGATTGAGCCACAATCTCTGGAATTCTCTTTACCGAGTATCCATCTTTGTACATAAGACCACTGAACACAGCTAATAGTGGTGAATTTACACTATCACCTGTTGTATAACCACATAAAATATTTTTTTAATTACATGAATGCAGATTAGGAGTTCTTAAAAAGGTAAAACAACTTAAAATTTACCATCGAAAATATATAAATGATCCCAACCACATTCTGTGGCAAATTCTTCCAAATGTAGTCTGACTGAAGCATTGGTACCAGCATCAATGAGCCAACTGCATTTCACATCTATTGAATAATTTCCTACACCATCATGTATAATTCCATAAGGTTCAGACAGTCTAAAAATAATTTGACATAATAAAAAGTAAAGGGATTTGATTTTAATTTAAGTCAATTTTGCAAATTTTTATAGAAATTACTAGTTAAATTGAAATTTCAGTTTTAACGAATGATAATTTAATTTAAAAAAATTATAAATGACATTGCATTTCTAAAGAAAGTTTAACATTTTAATTAAAAAACAGTTTTTGAACTAAATTTTAAAAATGATTTGTTATAAGGCAAAGTAGGGCTGTAAAGAAAACATAAAGTTAGTGAC